CCAGAGGCGCGGCCCCGCTCACAACGAATGTGAGCAGCCGTACCTCCGGTCTCGTTTCCACATCCTCAGCAGGGCAGGGCCTCCTGCATCGGGGCAGTGCGCCACCTGCTACCGCGTAGGGCGCGCGCGCCCCAGGCTGCCCCGAGGGCCAAGCGATCCAATGGTGCTGCATCCATATACGACCTAGGGAGCCCATGCCTATTACTAGTGCCAGGAGTGGCGCTCCCAGACGGCCTTATTATTATCCTCCTCCTCCTGTTCCTGCTCCTTCTCCTCCTCCTCCTCCGCCTCCTCTTTTTCCTCCTCCTCCTCATCATCATCCCCCCCCCTCCTCATCCTCATCCTCGTGTTCGTCATCCTCTTGTTTCCCCTCCTCCTCCTCCTCCCCCTCCTACTCCTCCTCCTCCTGCTCCTCCTCCTCGTCCTAGTCCTCCTCCTCCTCCTCCTCCTCCTCCTCCTCTTGTCCCTGTTCCTCTTCCTCCTCCTCCTCATCCTGCTCCTCCTGCTCCTCTTCCTCTTCCTCCTGCTCCTCCTCCTCCTCCTCCTTCTCCCCCCCCTTCCTTGTCCAGTCCTCCTGTTCTTTCTCCTCCTCCTGTTCCTCCTCCTCCTCCTTCTCCTCCTGTTCCTCCTCCTCTTCCTCCTCGTCCTCTTCCTCGTCCTCCTACTACTCTTTCTCCTCCTCATATTCCTTCTCCTCCCCTTCCCCCTCCTCCTCTTCTTCTTCCTCCTCCTCCTCCTCGTCCGCCCCATCCCCCTCCCCGTGCCCTTCCTCGCGAGTTCATCCTCCATCACTTCCTCATCCTCCTCATCCTTTTCCGTCTCAGCTCATTGCTCTCATAGGTACATCTTGTCGCGCCCCCATGAGTCTCGGTAGGGCGGGTCTGGCGGTCAGCTTGGGACTTCACCATCTACGACCTTGGAACTCGATATGTGTAATAGCTTCACGGATGGAGGGTGGGGGGGTCCAAAATGTGGTTATCGCTTCCGCGCCGCGTACATTCGTTTCAACAAATGCAACAGATTCGAGGATGGAGGGGGGGCGATCTCAAACTGTGGCTCTCGCCTGAGCGCCGCGCGCATTCGCCTGAAGAGTTCGCAGCATATTCGAGGGTGGAGAGCGGTTCCTTCGCAAAACGTGACTCTCGCGTTAGCGCCGCGCGCAGTCGCCTTAAGCGCCCACAGCAGTTTCAACGGTTCGTATGGTCGACGTCCCGGGAATGGCGTTTTGGCACGACTTAGGCGTGCCAGGACGCAACAGTCGCACGATGATTCATTGTGCTGAAGTCCCAACATCGGTTTTATGGTACGATTTAGTGTTGTCAGGACGCATCCAGTCACATTGGCATTATTCCCCCGCAGATTCAATCATTGTGTTTTGGTACGGTTGAGGGTTCTCAGGCGGTTATTTTTCCATTCGGCATTTCCCGCAATAGAAATTTGTTCGTTGGGACCTATGAAGACGGAGCGTGGAAGGAGGGTTTCTTGCAACATCGTTGATGCGTCTTGGGTTTACACTGGTCCTCGTTCTCCTCCTCCTCCCCCTCCTCGCGAGTTCACTGCTCCTCCTCCCTTCTGCCCCCTCCCCTTCTCCTGCTCCTCCTTCTCCTCCTCCCCCCCTCCTCCTCGTCCTCCTCCTCCTCCTCGTCGTCCAGGCGCCATCGGCGCCCAGGGAAGAGCTGCGGGAGAGCTCCTCCTCTTCGTCCTCGTTCTCGTCCTCGTCCTCCGACCCTTAAGAGCATCAGCGCTATACTAAAATCGTTATCCTTCCTCTCCCTCTTCCCTTCGTCGTCGTCGTCCTCCTCCTCCCCCTCCCCCTCCTCCTCCTCCTCCTCCTCCTCCTCCTCCTCATCCTCATCCTCATCCTCATCCTCATCCTCCCCACCCTCCTCCTCTGCCTCCTTCTCCACGCGGACGCTCGATGGAGGGAGGGGAGGGAAGGCAGGGATGGACTTGACGAGCACGGCGGGAAGAGGAAGCGGCGATGGAGGGACGGAGGGCAATCATGACATCATTTTCCGCCTGCTTGTTTCGATCCGCGACTTGAGGGCAGCTATGACAGAGCCACTGGCAAGTGGAAGGGCGGATGAACGGAGAAAGAGGGTGGAGGACGAGGAGGAGGATGGAGGGCGGGGGCGAGGAGGGCTCGGCGAAGGAGGTTCCCCCCCCATTCTTGCAGTGAGGGCCTGTTGGATTCGGGGCGGGCCCGCGCCTGTCTCTGAGGCGTCGCAAGGGCGCCCCCGGGCGCGGTGGGGCCTGTCTGGAGCCATGGGCGGGGGCTCAGCCCTGTCACCGGTCCTTTCTGCCTCCCTGCCTCGAAGAAGGCACAACTGCATAACCATACAGTAGGCACATCAAACTCGAAAGTGGTCTGCCACCCATGGAGATCTATGATCCCCCGATGACCCCAAGACCCACAAGGTCTCAGGTACCCTAGGAAGTTCAAAGATCGACGAAGAATGTGCCCCCCCCCAAACAAAGTGTTGTAATAAGATGTTTTCTCGTGTGAATGTGTGTGTGTCTACCGTAATCTTTCGGAGGTCCAGCTGGACCCCCCCGTTCCCTGACGCGCAGAACGCGCCAGGTGCGGCGCCAGGGGCGCCGCCAGGGGGAGTCCATCGCGTATCTAAGAAATCCGCACGGACCTCGGGAAGTTCATGCTAATTCGTGCTATTATTCCTCTATTGCTGCTTGCTTCCCTTTGCTGCTGCTGCTGCTGCTGGCCGCCTGCTGCGATGAGCTTCTCTCAGTCGTCGCTCCGTCCAGCTTCGCCTTGTCTTGCGCCCAAGTACGGAGCCCGTTTAATTGAAAGGCGAGGTAGCGTTACGATAATTAAAGGACGCGATCACGCAAACAAGCGTGACGCAATGCGAACATATTGCAATGGAAAGCAAGTGCGCAATGCGAACACAATGCGATGCACTGCGATACCAGCATCAGCATAAAACTGACGCGACCTGTTTGTTCAGTTCATTCCACAGAAATGTAACTGTGTTCGGGCATATGCAAAACGATGATTTTCAAAGCATTGTTTGGCAGTGCTGTGCATTGCTTGGCGTTGCTTGGCATTGATTGTTATTGGTTGGCGTTGCTTGGCATTGTTTAGCATTTCTTGGCCTGGCTTGGCATCGCTTAGTATTGCTTGGCGTTGCTTTTCATTGCTCGGCATTGCTTGGCAGTGCTCGGCGCTGCTGTGCATTGCTTGGCGTTGCTTGGCGTTGCTTGGCATTGATTGGTATTGGTTGGCGTTGCTTGGCATTGCTTGGCATTGATGGGCATTGCTGGGCGTGGCTTGGCATTGCTTGTTGCTTGGCATTGCTTGGTACTGCATTGTACGGTCAACCCCGAGAAACGCTGGCTGCGAAGGGCCCCGCAGCCACCTCTTTTTTTCACAAACACGTGAGAATTCCTTAGATCAAGCCTGATTGGGGAGCAGCACAATGCAGCGGAAAACCATGCAGAAGCAATGCGATGTATTGCAGTGCAGTGCCATGCAATAGCCGGTTTGGCAGCGCTCTGCAATGCGATGCAAGGATATGCAATGTAACGCACCGCATTGCAATGCAACAGGAATTCAGTTGCAAGGGAGTTCACGATTCGATGCAAAAGCAGTGCAGCGCAGCGCAGTGTAAACGCAATGGCAATGCATTGCGCAAGTAGTTCAACGTAGCGCAACGCAACGGATAGCATGTAAAAACGTTACAATGCGACAAGCAATGCAACAGCTATACATGGCACTGCAATGTAGAATCACCAGCGGATGCAGCGCTATGCGAATGCAGCGCAAATTCAGTGCAACGCAACAGACAGCAACGAAGCATCTCTTCCCCGACTCATGCCTGGACCCCCCACGCCCCCGGTCGGATTTCTTGTCTTCCTTCCTCGGGGGGCTCTTCTTCGCGGCGAACCATCAAGCGCCTTGCCATTGGAACCCCTGGACCCTTACGGCCATCAGAGTACATTTAGTACTTGTATCGGTGCTAGCATGTACTAGCCTGCAGCTAATGCTAGAGTGCGCCAGATCGTAAAGTACAGCATTAAGGGGTCCAATCAGCTGCAAGGGAGAGAGGGTTTGATGAGAATCAAGGGGTGGATCAAGTCGTACCATAGTAGAACAGCTCATTACAGTGCCAGTGCTCTCATAGCTTCAGTACAACTACTTCTAGAGTGTTGCTGCATTGCATTTGCAATCTGGGCTATGGCGGTTTTCCTCCTCTGGTTGCGGTCGGGGGGATGGAACCCCACGTGCGAGCATTCCCGCGGCTGAGAGTTCAGTCCTCTTCCGAAATTCGAGATCGGGGCAACCCCCGTGCTCGAACCCCTCGCCAGGGATTTCTTCCGCGGAAAACTGACCCTCTGGGTTCTTCGGCGCGCCCCAGAAGTTCATTGTTTCAGGGCGGGTCCGCATGGGTCCTACGTTTGAGCCGGCCGATTGATAACATTCAGAAGCAACGCAATGCCACATCAGTGCAACACATGCACTGTAATGAGAAGCTTTGCAAAACAGTGCTAGACATGCAAGCGCAGTGCTTTGCTCGGTTATTTGCTGCGCAATGCCATGTGACATGCAATAACGCTATAATATTTGATATCAAACGATGTGCTTATGAAAACGCTGACACGTGGCTTTGCACGAGGTGTCAGTGCCCGCGTACCAAGGAGCCGGATACGCAACTGGCATACACCCATCAGAAATATGAATGAACAGCAGTTTTCATGGATTCCAGATGTCGTTTACGAAATTCGAGAATTTGCATTGGACCTTGGGCATGTTCTTGGATATTCTTTTCGTAGAAGCATTCGGGCATCGGGACTTGCACTACTACTTAAGAAAACGCTTGGAGCGAATTCTAATATCTTAGCTTAAACATCTCTTAACTCCAGGCAGGGATGTCACAGCCAAATGTTCTTTGCACAGACCAGGTGGGACCCTTTTACAGCCACGACGCTGAGAGAAGGAACACTCTGGGCTCGGGAGTGGGCCTGGTTTTCTGGCTCTGGAGGACCTGTTCGTCGCTGAGGCTCACCGTGGCCAGGAAACACCTTCCGTTCCTTATATACTTGAACGCCCCTAATGGGGCAGACACCGCCGCCCCACTTGTTTTGGAACCCGGAGTTTACCTGCGGGGGGGTCGATGGCGATCCCGGAGGGTCCAAAAAGGCTTGGAGGGCGGAGCAACGAGGGCGGCAAGAGGCTATGAAGACGGCATGACATTGCACCACGCGTGTCGAAGTCTGGGGGCGACATTGCGGTGGCATCCGCAAACGCAGAAAGAAGCACACATAAGCCGTTGTTGGGCCCTCAGACGGGGAAATCTATTCCCGTGTACCCCGCACGTTTCTGGACTTCTCGCGAGAGGAGGTCGGCGGATGATGCAAGTAAACGGAAGCGAGACTTATATAATTGCTTCGCTCATTCCGCCAGCCCACGGCAGGCGAGAAGGAGGATAGGGGACTCGATAGGGGAGGAGGAGGAGGAGGAGGAGGAGGAGGAGGAGGAGGAGGAGGAGGAGGGGGGGAGGAGGAGGGGGAGGAGGAGAAGGAGGATGAGGATGCCTCTCGATGGCTTCTTGTGGCACTGTGGTGACCCAAACTGGACCGCGGCGCAGATAGGACGTTTTCGTGGAATGCCCCTCCGTTCTTGGTAGATCGATGACTGCAGGCACAGCTTCGTTGGGGAAGCATGGCCAGGGGCTCATGTCCACGAGGAGGAGAGCGCGGCCCTCTGCGGAGCCAGCGGCGCAGAAGCGGGTGAGACGACGAGTGGGCGGGGGCCTGTCTCCACGACGTAGCTTTCCTGTAAAGGCGTTCCAGTCTGTGGCGGCGGCGGTTCCGTAGCCCGATCTAGGCCCTCCCGCGCCGCGCGAACGCTAGCACCGCGACCAAGAAAGTTGGGATCCCTGTCTGCAACCCTGGGTGGGGGTTCGGATCCACGACGCAAGCTTGCGGTGGCGGCCTTTCAGCCCCATCCAAGCCTGACTCCCCCTTTGCTGGAGGACATGAACAGCCGCCCGGTGTTCGACACGCTCTGGATGGCGGGCCTCTTCGTGGGCGTGGTGTCGGTGTTGCCGCAGCTGTGGCTGGTGTCTAAGACGGGCGGCGTGGTACAGGCCTGCACCAGCCACTGGATCGCCATGATGGCGGCGAGCCGCGTGATGAGTGGCATCTTCATGTGGCACGCGCGCTTCGACGTGACGTGCTCCCCCTGGGTGGAGGGCTTTAGCCACGCGATCTGGGCCATCTTGGCCGCACACCTCGTCCACCTGGTGCTCCTTGGCGACTTCGCCTATTGCTACCTGAAGGCCACGGGCGGTTCACAAAAATTGAGCCATCGGGCCCCTCGCCCTGACCCCCAGGGATGGGCCGGGGAGGAGCGGAAGGGAGGGGGATGATGATGATAATGATGATGATGATGATGATGATGATGATGATGATGATGATGATGATGATGCTGATGATGATGATGATGATGATGATGATGATGATTATGATGATGATGATGAAGATGATGATGATGAGGATGATGATGATAAGGATAATGATGATGATGATGAGGAGGAGGAGGAGGAGGAGTAGGAGGAGGAGGAAGAGTGTATACATTCGGTGTGGCCCTATGAGACAAAACCCCTTTTCATTCTGTTCTGTGCGCATGCATGTGCCATGCTCTATTGTATATTCTATATGTTATCATTTGGCTTACAGGCACCTTTAGCAGCTGATGCACCTTCAGCGACAGAAAACATATCATCCTGTTGCCGCTCACCTTCAGTGGAGCATTTCAGAGAAGAATTTCGTTTGACAGGAGGAGGAGGAGGAGGAGGAGGAGGAGGACGAGGAGGCGGAGGGACCAGTGCAAATCCAAAACGCATCAACAATGTTGAAAGTAAGCATATCTCCAAATTGTCCCTTCGTAGGTCCCTACAAGACTGCGTGTTCATTGCGGGAGATGCCCCATTGGAAGACAACCGTCTGCGAATCTTCGATCGCTCCAGAAGAACATTCCTGGGAATCCAACGCCGCGAATCCACGTGACTGTTGCGCCCTGAAAGTCTCAAGTCGTGCCAGAACACCGCGAATCATATTGATTGCTGCGTCATGATAATCTTAGACCATGCCAGAAAAATATTTTTGTGGCATCGCCATGCGAATCCTTGAAACTGCTGCTAGGTTTCAAAACGAATATGCGTGTTGTTCAGGCGAGAGCCACATTTAAAACAGCCCGCCATCTATCCTTGAAGCTGCTGTAGCCTGTTCAGACGAATGTGCGCGGCGTTGGGGCGATAACCGCATTTTGAAAGAACTCGTCCTCCATATTTGAACTTGTCTTTCAATGCAGGCGAATGTGCGTGGCGCTATGGCCAGAGCTACATTTTGAAAACGACGCGTCCTCCATCCTTGAAGGTTCTGCAGACTTTCAAAGCGAATGCGCGCAACGCTGAGGCGAGAGCCACATTCTGAAAACGGCTCGCCTTACATCCTTGAAGTTGCTGCAGTCGTTCAGGACGAATGCGCGCGACTGGGGCGAGAGCCAGATTTTGAACGCCATCCGAGAATAGTTTGAACACGTCAAGCTTCAGGATCACCAATGGTCAGGAGGTCTCAATCGAAGCGCCTGGCCCGTCCTACCGAAACATTTGGGGGTGCGACAGTGAGTTCATGGAAAGGAGAAAGGATTGAGCTCCAGAGGTGATGCTCGGAGACAAGTGGCGCGCCTCGGGGTAATTACGAGCGAGGAGAGGGGAGGGGCGACGGGGAGGGGGGAATCCAGTGGGAAGGGGGAGGACGGAGGGAGAGGACACTTCTATCTCTTGGTGCACGACCTTTCACCCCACCCACAAATTCCCGAGAGCCTGGCAGGATTTGGTTCCGCATGGATGGCCATCGGAGTGGACGCGATTGTCATCGCCAGCTGCCTCTCCTGCATGGACGCCGGCGGCGGCAGCGGCAAAGCGCGACGCCTCCACGCCTCGGGGCCCGGGCAGCAAGCTCGAATACCTTCACAGAGATGGGTGCGCGAGGTGATGATATGGTCAGTGGCCTGCGTCTCGTCGCGCCTCGCCAGCATGGCGCGCGAGCGCGCGGGCGAATGGCTGCCAGCTGTCTTGATGCTGGGAGACTTCGCCAACGGCAACCAAGCGCCGCCCATGACCTCCGTGATGTACCGTTTGGCCCAGAGGCGGGGCCAACGGGGCGAGGGGGAACGCGCGTTTGCAGCTTCGGCACTAGTGAACTTCGACGGACAGCCGCATGGTCGCATGGACAACCTCCTCACGAGATTCGACATTCTACGCAACAGGCGTTGCAAGCTGGTCAACTCATGATCGGCCACGAGGGCCTCTTGCTGCGCGCCGTCGGCGCGTCACGCATTCATCTGGCCATGGCCTCGCAGCGCCAGGGCGTAGCCTGCCCCGCGGCGCCCAGCAGCTCGCGCAGATGACGGGTCAGCTGCGGCGTCTCGGGCACCTGATCGAGGGGTCGCTTGGCGACCTCGCCTCGGCCGTCCAAGCTGCCCGATAGCGCGCCTCCCATGCGGGCGCGCCCGTGCAAGGCCAGATTCAGGGCGCCTGTGGCGCCGCGGCTGGATCGGGTCGGGACGGCGCGGGCCCGGCAGAGCCAGGGTCGGCGCCTAGCCCGCCCTGCGCCAGCAGCCGCTGCAGCGCCAGCGCGGCGCCGCCAGCGCACGGGGCATTCCATTCCCGGCAGCGGGCGTCGACTCAGGCACCGACGCCGACGCCGCCAGCTCCTTCGGCGAAGAAGCCATCGCAGACGATCCCCAGCTACGCGACGCCTTTGTGGAACAGCGCGGCGCGCATCTCTCCCGGGCTTGCGGGCGCGCCAAAGCGCGCCGGCGCGGCGCCGACAGCCGCGAGCCCGCGCGCTACGTCCGGAGGGCCATCGAACGAAAGGGCAATGGCCAAGGCGGCCGACTTGTTTGAAAACGACCTCCCGGAGTCTGTCGGGCCTCGGGAAGGGCGAAAGCAAAGGCCGAGGGAGGTTCTGGGCCAGTGGCGCGGGCTCGGGCCGCCGCGGAAACCCCGCGGGCCCTGGCGGGCTGCGTTTCAAACGCCGCGAGCGCAACGCCGAAAAGCACCTCGCCGCGCGCGACTGTCCCTGGCGCCGCAATCATTGCGCCCCAGCGCCACCGCCATCAGCGCCAGCATCCTCGCCACTCACGCTTCTGGGGCAAAGGGGGCCGCCGGGGCCATCCGAGCAGCAGCTCAGGCCAGGGGCGCCCTTGGACCCTTGGAGCTTCGCAGCCCGCGGCCCCAGGCGCCAGGGGCGGCGATTCCCCGCAGGGCGTCGGCCCCGTGGAGCGGCGGGCAGCCGACTCCAGCAGCGCCGGCGCCGCGGCCGCCAGCGCCGGCAGCCGCTCCGAGCGCGTCGCCAGACGGCTCTCGGCAACAAGTCGGCGATAGCCATTGGCCGCGCCGGGCAGGTACATCACCCTCATCTTCGTCATCCCAACCCCCGCGACGCCGGACGAAGACGACTGCGACAGGGGATGGCAGATCTCGCGAGCCGCGCGCAGGACTCCGCGCCGCGGGCCCCGCGGCCACGCCGCCGGCCCGCGCGGCAGCGGCGGGGGGCGCGGGGGCGGCGGCCGCGCCAGCAGCGCCAACGGCTCCGGCAGCCTCAACAACACCACCACAACCAACGCCGCAACGGTTGACGCGACGCGAGTGGGCGGTGCGTTCCTACTGTAAGCTCAGAGGCGCGACAGAGTAGGCGACCTTAACGCGCGAGCGAGCCGCCGCGCCTCTGGTCCCGCCTGCCGACGCGCAGTTGCAAAGCTGGGCACACGCGCCTTCGAAGTCTCCGCTCTCGGCATCGCGCCCCACGTGGGTCGTGCTCCGCGCGGCCGCCGCGGTCCGCGCGCGCAGTCGCGTCGCCGCCAGTGCCGGGGCCTCCCCCGGAGCTGCCCTTGTTCAACCAGAACAGCCCGTCGACGTGAGCCAACCGTCTGGGAGGGTGACCGCGCGGTTCGCCGGCCGCGAGACCTGGGCGGCCAGCGGCGGCCAATCCGAGCACGACGCGGGCAACGTCTTCAACGGAGCAGCGACGGCGCCTCGACGAGCTCCGCGGCGCGCAGTTACTTGAGCTCACGCGGCAGCATGACGAGCAGCGACGGCGGGCCGCGCATAATTGAGCAGGAACCCTCCTTCTTTAGTCCTCCTCCGGGGCCCCCCGCGGCGCCTGCCGCGGTTTTCGCCGGCCGCGCATGCAATGTGCAACCGATCAACCGATGCAGAACACGGGCGCCCGCGCGGCGCACCGCCTGGCGCGCCGCGGCCCAGCCGACCTTGTCGCCGATTTCCGTTTTATTCGTGGAGATCGTGCATCGACGGGCCCGGCGCCCGCGGCGCCGGCCCGCGCGGCTGCGGACAGGGGCGCGTCGGAGGAGACCGCGCCGCGGCAGGATCGTGCTCAGTCGCCTTGACCAGCCCCTGCCTGCACGGCGCCTCGGCAGGGCCCATCGCTGGGCAGCTCGCCCAGCTTCGCAACCGCAGTAGACGCGGCGGCGCCCTGCGACGCCCGCCCGGGCCTGCGCGTGCCACCGCGCAGGCCGACGTTCCCGGGGTGGCCGACCTCGTCGGGCACTGGCCTGAGCTTATCGAACTATTTGTCGCGCTGCCCGGTGAGCACCGATCTACCAGTTGGCCAGTTGGGCGCCGTGGGTCACAATTGACATCGGCGCCCGCGCGGACCTCTGGGGATTGCTCTCCGCCACGAATTTGGCCCATAACGCATTGCAGGCAAGACTGCAGACCTCCGAGGAGAAGTTGTCAATCCCGCTGTGCAGAGTAGGGGTCGGCAGCGGGTCGCAGGTAGCGCGCTACGCGGCGCATTGCCTCATCGCGGCGACTTCCCGCGACGGCGCGACCATCGGTCGGCGCGGCGCGCGCGCTCCGGCCGTGGAGGGCGCAGGCTCTGACTTCGCTGCCTTGCGAGGTCAGCGGCCCACGCGGTCCAACAACGGGGCGGTGGAGACAGGCGCGGGCCAAGTGCGCTTCGCTTTCCCCGGGCCAGGCGGCTGCAATATCACGTGGGGCCCCGATTCCGGCTGCGCGCCCCCGTCGATCATGTCGGCGCCGCGCTGCTGGCGGCGGGCGTCGACGGCCAGGATGGCGACCCCGCCGACGGCCGCGAGCTCAAGAAGCACCCTCACAGGGCGCGCCTGGGGCCGCAGGTTATGGCCTCTGCGCCTTCGCGGGCGTCAGCGCTGCGACGGGGGGTCGCGAACTCGTGTCGACGGGCGCGGCGGCCTCAGCGCCGCCGGGCACTTGCCTTCGCATTGCCCCTT